AATTTCTATAAAGATACACAGTGAAGATCCTACTTTGCAAAATTTACATATGTAATTATTCATATTTCCTTGAACATATAAATTTAGTGGAACAAAATATAAATCATGCTTTTTAAATTTGAAAAAGGAATTTGTGTAATTTTATTTTTATAAAAATAATAATAATGAATTTAATAAATGCAGATTATTTTCCATAAATAAAAAAATCTAAAATATTTTATATTAAAGAATAATCATATATGAAAGCTGATGTACATAAACTTTTTATTTTTATTATGTTATTGTAACTAGTTGCATTCCGATAAACTCGCGAAACGTGAGATCAAAATGCATATAATATAGAATATATAAAGAGATTAAGAATTATCGAAATGTTCGACATTCATATGTTTCATTTATCTCAATTAATAATATTTAAATCGTTAATAACATTGCATGCAGTTATGCGGGTTTGCACTGCGTGGTCATCAAGGGTTACAGCAAATCGGCGGGATACCAACCGGGCGTTTGTTTCGAGGACAACCGATTCCGGAACAGTTGGAACGCCGTGTATGTGGCAGGTGCATGGCGGTTCGTCCAGTGTAATTGGGGAGCACGACATCTCGTCAATGCCAAAGAGGTTCCCCGTCCCGGTCAAGCGAAAGCTAAGAACGACAGCCTCAGGTAACGACATACCAAAGTTATCGATGGTATCGTGATTACAGCGTTTGCGTGTGCAAATAAAACGATCAATGTGATCACGAAGACATTTCACTTAGGTACGAGTACGACGACCATTACTTCCTGACGGACCCGCGAGAATTCATATACGAATTCTTCCCTCTGCAAGAAGAGTGGCAGTTGCTTAAACAACCGATTTCACTAAAAGATTTTGAAGAATTGCCTTTCGTACGGTCTTTATTCTTCAGGTAAGGCAACATTCCTGTTTTCTTGTTTTCTTGCGGAATATACTTTCTTGAGGAATAAGAGAGAAAGCTGGATTCTACGCAGATTAATTGTAACGTTCATGATTCATTTTTCTCGCAAAATGCACTGTTCAACTCCATGCAATTTATATAACTGCCATTAATTTCACATCGCTTTAAAGGACCTTGCACTAATTACATAGGAAATTGGATCTCGGTGAAATGAGGTGGTTTTCACATATGTAGCTTATAATATGATGAACAAAGATGTATACACACATGATTCAAATAATGGATAACCGTATCAAAAGTATAAAATTTGTGTTCATAATTAATCACTTTGGATGCATCATAACTTAAGAGTTATTCATTATTTGAGCAATGTGCATATAACATTTTTTGTTCACCACACATTACAACATAAAAACCTTATTTCACCGAGATTTAATTTTCCATATAATTAGTGCGAAGTCCTTAAGTAAAGGTAATAACAACTTCAAGCGTATCACGTCTTAACAAATTAAATCTGTCCATTGAAGCGCGTTTAAAGACCGTTAGAATATAATTAAACTGACTATCTCTCGCAAGTGTGGTGGGATTGGTCTATTAACAATGACCGTAAGTTGCACAGCGAAAATACCGTTCGGATAAATTCTGCGTGTACAGGTACGGCCTTTACTTTCCGGATACGAATACAAATGCCGTTATGTATACGGATTCCACTGGTGCTGCAACCGTGAGGATAGCGATGCCAGCACATATGCAATCATCCCTTATCTTTCATTACAATCTCAAGTTTTATGATAATGATGGCGATGGTTACGACGGTGTGTCGCTCAAGCGTTTTGTCATGCAGGTAAATTAATAGTCTGTGGCCTCTGTATTAATGTCATGATGATTTATGTCAAGCGACTGAATCGCGTTGCTTTGATTATAAAATATTATAAAAGTCATATAAAGTAATTCATATGTTTCTCTTTAATAGCTTATTTTAAGACTTAAATGCTTAATTCGAAAATTAAAAAATAGAAAGAGACAGAAAAAAAATAATTTTAATTTATATTAGGTATGGGAAAAAGTTCATGGCGTTTTTCCTGTTAGATGGCATTAAAAAAACGCCACGAACTTTTTCCCACACCTAATATAATAATTCTTAAAACGTGTGTGTGTGTGTGTGTGTGTGTGTGTGTGTGTGTGTGTGTGTGTGTGTGTGTGTGTGCGTGCGTGCGTGCGTGCGTGCGCGCGCGCGTGCGTGTGTATGTGTGTAAGAGACGGACGGATTATTATTATTATATATTCTGATATTGTATAATACTAATTTTTGTAGAACTTTCTATTATTTTTGTATTTTATAACATTACTATCAAGTCGCATATATGAAAGATGTACGTTATATTTGTCTAAATTTAAAATAAATAAGAAGATAACGCAGTGCAGATCAATACTTAAATAAATTTCACGAATTTGAAATTTTTTAGTCGGTTGTGGGAAATATAGTCGCGTTTCGAGTTCACGCGCCGTGTTCCGGATCTTTTCTTTTGGACATATTCGCCAATGCGGTAACGCCGAAGGAATACTTGACCGGTGAACCGATGAAATTCAAAAGCGTCTGCAAATTCAAAATCGCATGTGAAGAATTGCAGACGGTGATGGTACCATTGCCAGATTGCGCCAGTGGCGAATGGGGTCCCACCAAAGCTACCAGATTATTTGGTCTTATACCCATCACTCATCAGGTACGTTAATTAATCAAATTGGTTTGTTCGTTACTATATAGTTAATTTAAGGCAAAAATCAATTAATATAGATTATAAAAAGTGATTTACAAGTATATGCAGACTTCTATTTCCTTAACATGTCCATATAATAGTTGAATCAAAATACCAATTGTGTAATAATGCGTATAAAATGTTAACATTATAATTTTAAATAATTAATAATTATTTATTATTAATATAAAATTAATATATATAAATTAATATAAATAAAAAGAAAACTATGATTACATGTTTTTTTTCAAAAAAATTAAGCTGATTCTAGTGCTATGTAAAATATAATAAACTTTTCAAGTCTATCGAGTATAGCATGTAACTGTTATATGTTTCACGTAGGTAAAAGTTTTGTCATGTTTCGGTCCACAATCAGTTCCACAAGAATAAATTTCCTTTCCACTCTTTTCTCTCACGTATGGAAATACTAAGGTGAAAAAAAGAAAAGTCAAGAAAGATTGGCCAAGAAAAAGGAATCTTTTATCAAAGCCGATTTTATCAAAACCTGTCAGGCAGTTCACAATCGCACAATCTATTGATTTTAGGAAGCTCTGGTGTTCGCCGGGCGTGAGCTGGAGATTCAATTCCGCATGTCGAGGCCGTTGACGGACTTCATGGCGACCCTGCACAAGAACGGGATTGAAGAGAAGCGCCTATCCAAGTACGTGACGCATTCTATCGCCGACGACGACGTAGTCACATTCTCTATAAATTTCCCCGAAGAGGGTCAATACGGTCTAGACGTCTACACCAGAGAATCCACAGTCTCACCCACCGCTCAGCACGACGTTACTGGCGAAAAGCATCTACTCACGCACTGTTGCAAGTATCTCATCAATTCCAGCAAGAGGAATTGAGAGTAACCTCGAGCGTTTTCGTTGAAGTTCAGCTTCATCCGAAAATTTCTACTCTAGTTGTGAATGGCGATTACTAGCGAGGAATGACTGAAATTCTAGTGCTTATTAAGACGAGCGACACACTTCTTTCGTGGTACTTTCGGAAAATTAAAATTAGTAAAGCGAATTGTGAAATATTTTGCAGGCATGATGAACGTCGTCGTTACTTATCGCGATGAAATGATCACAAATATTTTATAATCCGAAAGTCTCGCTTGTCATACTGAGCTTGTTCTATCTTTAGAAAACAGAGAGAATGTGCAACATTCTCCGGAAATAGATCAACTATTAATGATAAATTAATGACACTTTGTCGTCGAATACATAAAGGGAAAAGAGTAAAGAAGCCGGTCGAATGATACAATGGTAACGAAGAGACAATGATGAAAGCAGTGACGTTTTACGTCATTCTTCAAAGAAAGATTCTATTTTATGCAATTCCGCTACCTCGAGTCTAACAGTAGGCTTACGACTGGAAGATAATTATTAATGTAAAACTAACTATGGAATTTTAGTTTTATATGGGAGAGACATTTTTCGAAGGGCCTCAAGTAGCAATAAATATTTTCGTAAGTAAATGGACGGGTTTAACGCGATTTCTTGAACACTCAGTATATCTGGGACGTGCTTACGGTCGTGCTCCCTTATATCATCTACTGGATTAGTACTTCTGTATAATGATGCTTTGACGCGATCATGCTTCTCTTATGCAACCGAATAAATTATTACGATCTGCAATTCCGTTATAACAATTTCATCTCCTTTACTCTCACCAAGCTTTACTCTCACCGACAGATTCATATATTTATCGCTAATACCGCATTATTTTCAATACTACCTGTTATATGTATATCCCGTTTCCGATTGCGGATCAACATTAAGCATGTGACGCGTATAGATCGAAGCAAATATAATATATTTTATGTACGAAAAAGTGCTTCTGTATATATAATGTACGTATATATAGCATCATTACGACTTGTGTGTGGAAAGTATTGTTATCTATAAAGAATATTGAATTGTATCTAAGGAAGCACTCGTCCAATTTTATTTAATCTACTCTTCTACTTTTTTAATTTCTATTTTTTTATATTGCTCTATAGGATTCTATTTATTTTATAATTAGACTGTGTTCTCTTTTAAAATTGATAAATTTGCAAGTCGTAATTTTCGAAATGCACAGGTGCTATACTTTATATTATCCCTTATAATGATATTCGCACAACCGAGCAATCATTTATTTAGTGATAGGATAGCATTCGCACTGTCGACTATGCAAGCAAAAATGTCGTTTATAACAATTAAGAAGAAGATATATATTTATTAATCGTGTAATATTAATCTTTCTTGTTGTCAATTAAAATTTTAACCACGAAAGGAATCCCCACATTATTATCTTATGTAATAAATGTAACTCGAGCTTACAAAGTCTATTTTGTTATCCATTAACATTCATAAATATATAAATTAATTTTTTTATATACCGTAGTTACTTTCAATAAAATTTTCAATATATTCTTGTATAAAGATTTAATAAATTGATTTCCACAAAATAATTTCAGACTCAAATAATTTCAGATTCAAAATTATTTCAATAAATCGATTATTACAAATCCAATCTGAATTAATCGAAATTCATACAATTGCGTAATTTTTTTTTTAAAGTATGCTTATCAAGATAAAGATATTCTTCGAAAGTTTTCTTAGATTTTATATTGATAATTCTCAGGAAGAAACTGTAATCAATATTCTTTTTATTATATTACTCAAGATCGTTTCTGACGAATTAAGAAATACGCAGGTAATCAAAATGATAAGATATTCAAGTAGAGTAAATAATTCAGTAAATAATTAATTAAGGACAAAGAATTCAGTAGAGTAAATAATTAATTTCCGCAAAACTTCCTGTCAAACAGCAACCCGTTGCACTTATTCCATCGAGCATGACAAACGTAACGGTACGTCCATCTTGCGGTAAAAGAACAAAATTTAAATTTCATGAATCACAATGCACGGCTTCATACAAACTTGAATAAGGAGCTGATGTATTACAAGCGTTTTTAATATCGTATTCTCACTTCGAGATGAACACATCCAGTGATAATTTTAATAAATCAAATACAAAACTATAATTATTTAAAGGAATTACAGAAATAATCATAAATAATAAATCCTATTCGCAAAGCTATTTTAATTTATTAATAATCGATTTTAGCCAATAATTGTCTTCAACTTCTATGTAATCCAAAAGTAAGTCTGAACGACAGTAATCCTGAAATATAACTCAATAATCAATAAATCCTTTAAAAACCATAGGTACATTCAGTACTCAGCAGTTATAGTTCATGTGAATTGCACAATTTATAAGATATCTATCAATCGATTAATTCTCTCTCTCTCTCTCTCTCTCTCTCTCTCTCTCTCTCTCTCTCTCTCTCTCTCTCTCTCCCTTATTTTAGAAAATAATTTTTTTCTGAGCTTAACGTTGTTGACATAATTCTGTAATAAATCGAAAATATTTATAAAATATATAACAAAATATTAGCAAAAGATTCGAAGGCAATGACTTTCGGTGAATCTACGATAAATTTGACAATATAAAAGCGCTATTGATGGACATTCAATAACACACAACAAATGATATCGATTTATTTATCGAATTATTGCTGAGTGGCATTCGTGCAACTATATAGCCGAACAAAATTTACCGTACTGAAGTTTTACGAAGTGTGAACGGCATTCTTCGGTTGTATTATACTTTCTTTAAACTGATTCACGGTTTCTCTTTATCGCTTATTATGAAAACTAATTACCGGAATGTCTTGTATATTTGTTCGGAGATAAATCATCATTTCAGACTGAGGATTTTTTATGCGCATTGCGACGAGTTACCGGTTCATCGCTAATTAAATAGCCGGTCCTCAGATTGCAGACTCACCCCTCTTCTCCTCTCCTGCACATCGTCAACTTCCGGAACAGGAAGACGATCCCTCGGGATTGCCGAGACAAGAAAAAAGTTTCCTTATTCCATGATGGTACGTGCGGAAAGAAAGATTTCATCGCGCGGGCGTACTACTTTGTGATTTATAGCCCGCTAACTGCTTATTGTAATTGCAGATGAGGACATCTATTATTGTTATTATCAGCGTTGGCCGCGGAGACAGGACGCGGGATTTAGAAGCTGCTCTCGCCTTATCGCGCAAAATGGGAATTTCTGTTCGCGGTGACGGCGCGGCTAGAATTTTTAATGGCACTTACAGTAGAACTTGTCGCATGCGAAGAGGCAGAAGCTTCACATTTTATTTTTATTAACATAAAATTTCTTTATATACTTTTGGATATATAATACGATTTAACCATCGTTCTTAAAGGAATTTCGATCGACGGCGATTTTTGTACCCAAAGCACGAAGCCGTAATTACTTTCGCAACTCCTCTTTTGGCATCTGAAGCGCGAGATTTATGTGCTAAAAAATAAGATATTTGATTACTCGGTTTATTGTGGCGCTGGAATAGTTAAAAGATTCTGATAGCTACTGCTGAAACGTGTTCTCTGTTCGTTCTACTTTCCATTGTTTGATGATGGTCGCTCGTTAGTATTTCACGCTCTATACACACGCCACATAGAGATGATATGGACTCAGAGTGTTTAACAAGCCTCTTCCTTCATTCTTTTTTCCTCGCACTTCCTTCCGCAGCCCGTTAGATGCTACGTCTTTATAATTGCTCACCGCAAATGGATGGCTATTAATGTATACGTCTATTCGCCAGTATTCCAGCCATAACATCTTAATAATTGCCGAGTATAAATAGCTGCGGCATGCCATACTTTTTTAAATATATACTTTTCCTTTTATGTAATATTATTTAGTTATATATTGGAAAATTTGCTTATTAAAAGTATCGAAAGTTTAATTAACAGAGTAAAAGAGAAGATTTTTTTTCAGTTATTATGAAACACTTTTTTTTAAAGTTATAGATATATAATATACACGAGTTATCGATTACATTATAAACTACACAATATAATAATTAATAATAATATATACTGCATATTTACATTAATATCTCGTAGCAGAGAAATTTTATAATAAATGAAAAAAAAAAATCTTCTCTTTTATACCAAAGTACAATGTACCAATTTTATTTTATTGGTTTTTGTTAAATTTTCAAACAAATGTCAAATGTGTCACGCGGTATCCCGCGCATGCATCGTATCGGTTTGCTTAAAATACACAGCGCTCTGAAACGAATAAAAGCTATTGCCTTTACGAGTGGACTATTTTCGCTGGGCGCCGTGCACCACACGCCCACCACCTTCTCTAATCTAAGGCGCGAGCATCTATAATGCATGCCAGGCCGTGAGGGTATTTCTAATCCCACGCAACTCCCTTGTGGGGGCCGCAGATAGTGAGTCGAAATATCAGACGTCGAAGTAGCGGGCGCGCTGTTTTCCGAAGGGGCTGCACCCTCACTCCCTCACACGGTGGTGAGTCACGCGAGAGAACGGCTGTGCGATCGTCGAAGATCTCTCGCGACGAGACGGAAATGGTAAAGGGATAAGATAGCTTGGAAACTCAATCCCCTTGCGTGTGAGTTTCCATACCTTGGTAAAAAAATCTTTAAAGCTGCCCTCCTTGATAGAGGCGAGTAGAGTATTACGCGACAAAAAATTGTGGATTATTGGCTGGTTTAAAGGGAAAAATAATTTCAACAAAGCGTGGAATATCCCAAAGATAATTAATTTACGTCAGCAAAATTGAATAGGGATATTATAACAGAGTTTTTATATTATACGGTTCAGTTGTTATAAAACAAAATTTAATTATGGAATATCAGACCGAGTCATTTACACGATTATCGTTCTGTGTTTTCCTCCTCGTTTCTCTAATATATAAAATATAGTAAAATAAATTTTGAAGGAAGGAAAATTTTCATACAAAGGCACAAAGTGTTCTATTATTTCTACGTTTGATAATGGACAAATTTACTGCAGTACAAATTGGAATTCATATAACTGAAATGAAGTTAAAAAATTATTTGATATTATTTAGATGAGAGTACAAAGGTGGAGGAGAGTAGGAAACTTAAAAACTACAATACTTCGAACAAAGAAAAATATAAAAAAATCTGTCGAGTGTGTGTTAATAAAACGAAGTGCGACTTGCGAGCCGAGCGTTTCGATTTCGTTGCCACGGAATGAGAACAATCGGAGAATGAGACATCGAATAATAATAACAATAATGTACTTTTAGGCGATGCCGGCTCTTTCAATACTACGACCACGGAAAGCATCATTTATTCGTAATGGTATCATTTCACGCGCGTGAATTTCTCCCTTGTACTCTTATGATAACGTAGTCATGTTATCCTTTCACGTCTTGATGATACATGTCCGCGATATTCCTCCATTTTCACGCGAAACAACGGAGAGGCAATCGTCTCTATTCGGCTTGGTAGATCGAACGGTGCATTATTTATCCGAAATCAAGAAACAAGAGTAATCGGCCGTATTGAAAGATCACGTGATCAGAATAGCAATCCGGGAGGAGACAATTTCTACAAATTGGTAAATGTACCAAATGCAAGTAAAAATCATGTTTTAAATTGTTTAAACTGCTTAATGAATGTTTTTAACATATTTTTATAATACTGTTTAAAATATGTATAAAACATTAAAAATATGTTTAAAAAATACAATGTTTTATTCTTTAAAAAAAATTTTTTTGCCAATTTCTAGCCATATAGCCTCGCGATTGAAGAAAACGGAGAACAAATTCCATTGATATTGTCTGATCACCAAATTACGAAAAATCTTCGTCGAGAAAATCATAATGCCGTAAATATATGACATATTGCCGATTCGCCACAATTTGATGAAAAATGTTAAAGAATGAACTGAGAACAATGACGACTGTTTCAATTGAAAATAAAAGAGCTCATAAAGATATAGAAGGAAAACAATTATTAATAAGCATAACTGTGATGCAGAGAAATTATTTTATAGTTAATAAGAAATTATTTATTAATACAAGGAGAAAAATCTTTCAGTTTGTATTATAATATCCAAATATCGTTTTCACAATCGATTTTCAGTTCTGATTCTGTTAAGATGATTGAAGAACAGAACCTTGTTACGCTGAATACTTCCAATCAAATTTATACAGACACTTGAAAGCAGATGCAATAGTTTTGTTTTCAACAAGCATCGAATATTTCAGCATAGCGACAAAAAAAATTTAATATTATTTTTTGAAGATAATTTCGATATTAGAACCTCTGGTTATGATAATGTGAAAATTTGCGTAATATTATTTTCTGCAATTTTTTGTAATATAATTTAAATGAAACAGAAAGAAGCAATCTAGATATTCAATAAAATGTGTCTTATACATTTTAAAGGAATACATTCCACAGTCGCCAAAGAAATATTTAATAGTCGAACAATGCCGACGTCCTCAGGAAAAACCTTATCGAACGATGAATCGAATCGACATGATTCGATGCAAACTACGAGCGCATTATTCTCTAACGAGTCGCCTTATATGCCTAACGGA